GATTGCAAGATGCTTGAGTGTCCACAAAGGATGGCCACAAAAATGGTCAGGGGGTTGAATCGGTTTTCATACGTAGAGAGACTGAAGTCACTGGGATTATATTCCAATCATTACCGGTGCATCAGAGTTGATAACTCTTTGCAAGACTGGATTAACCGTACTGCAGCTTCGAGGCTTTTCGGTGTTTTTTGTAATATCGTTGCATTGAATAATAAATTACTTTCAATTTTTTTGTAAAAGATTACTTATTACTTTGACTGAATGTCCTGGGTTTTCATTAACCCCAAGTAAATGGGGTGTGACATAAATTAGTGGAGGAATCTCAATATTGAAACAATTAATTTCTCCACATCTGTGGGAGAAAATATTTCATGAATATTTTTATTATTATGTTAATTAACACTGTGTTACTTTATTTCTATTGAGTAGTCAATTTGTGCAGTTTAGCATGACATAAACCATTGGATGTTGTTAAGTACATATTACAGAGAAAAACAGTTGAAATTTGGGATTGCTGGTTCAATTCTTGACATGAAAATAGGAGCTCTAGTTGCTTGAACACGTGATCGAACGCAGTTCTTCAGAAGTCAGTGACCTTTCATGCCTCTCTAATTTTAAATACAATAAATTCCTCTCCTGAAAAGGCATAACTTTACCGGCTTCTGAAGTATAAAGTTTGATCAATCGCCAGTAATGAGTGGCAACTGAAGGCAATTGAAGGAGTTACTTAATTTATGGTTATTATGGAGTTGATATGCAGTTTAACGTAACCAGACCCCGTGAGTAAGTTGTATTAGTACCCCTGGATCCTGGCAAAGGGGATTACCATTTTCCTTCAGAGCCGGAAACTGTCCATGCAAGATATTACTTTCCCACATGCCAACTACCTTAGCTGAGGAAGAATGGGAGAAAATGATAAGTCACGTGAGACGAAGTTGACAAAAGGCCGCAATTACACTGAGACAGAATAAATCACTGACTGAGAAAATGAGTTTACTTCAGGTATTACAGGTTCAATCCCCAAACGAGTATGCTGAATAGTTTATGCTAGTTCCCTATAGTCTGAGCCTTGGACTTAACCCACCTACCCGGGCATGAGAGACAAGATAGGACATGTAACCTCACATTAGCCTAGCGTTAAATATTTTGAATGAAATCAAATGTAGTGAACAAGAGAATTGGATGGCTAGCAGTTAGCAGTTTACATTACTAGGGTAACCAGACGTTTAAATAATCAATGCGAGTTTAGGAGTAGTGAATTCGGAGTAATCCATTCGAATGTAAACAGGCATCAGGCACTGATAGTGGTCTTGAGTGTGGGTTTCATTCCTTTGGAAATAGTTAATTCTGCATTTGTTGAATGTTGATGAGTCCGAAACACAATAAAACAGCTATCCAGTACTCTTGGTCGGTTATCACAAATCTTTCTATCGCTAACAAACACATTCAATCAGAAGGAAACTTACAATCTCCCAAGTAGTGAAACCCGCACCCAAGACCACCAACAGTGCCTGGTGCCTGTAAACAATCTAATGGATTATTCCAAATTTAATATTCTTAAATGCTTAAACCATTCGTTGTGCACCGTGTAACTCGGGAGTGAGGGTTTGAAATCCCGACTTTAATGTTCACAGTTCGAGTCCTGACAGGGTCACAAAAATTGTGCACTGACGATGAGTCCTAAATAGGACAAAACAGCTGTCCAGTGCTATTTGTCGGTCGTTACAAATATTTCCATTGCAAACGATAAAAGTATTTAACGCTTCTTGTGATCAGCTCCGTTTCCAGACAGGATTAACTAGTCACAATAGAGTGAATGAAGTGTTATTGGAGATACATTTACTCCGCTGTTTACTTATGTACAAAGTAGGCATGTTATGAATGCTACTTCCCACTACTTTAGCTGTGGTCAGGACGTGGTGTTCAATCGATGTAGGTTGTTTCTTGCAGACCTGTTATAGGATTCGAACAGTTCTGGTCAGGTCTAATGTGGCACCTTATTCGAGAAAGTTTAGATGCAAAACAAACGAAAATATCTCCGGTAAAGTGTCCTTTTCAACGGTAGCCTTATGCAAATCGGTCTCTTTTCTACTCAAACCATTCCCCCTAAGGTGTCCGTCGTTTCACCATGCTGCCCACAAATCAATCCAGGAATCCATTAAATTTGAAGACCAGCATCATGTTCTTTTGTATCGAACAATCGCCGCCTATTTCATTGCACTTATATAACAGAGATGCAGTCCGAATAGATCAGCAAAGATCACGTTCATTTTCTTTAATTCATCTACTGCCTAATACATCCCAGTTTGTATGACTGTGTTCTATACGGTTAGTAATCACAACAGACTGCGTTGACTAAATAAACGTTCAGGTTTGTAGGACTGAGTGTCTCTCAGATTTCTTTCATCACACATTGTTTTAGATCATGAGAAATGATATGACTATGTCAAATTCGATGATAGCCACGGAAGGTCTTGTGGTCTAACAGTCTGTGTTTGGAGCATGATGGGAGCGGCGTGTGATTATGCAGTTGGATTCTAATTGCTTCTGTTGTTGTTGTTTTTCGATTTTTTAAAACATACTTCGTCTTACAGGAACAAGTAATTGATAGTTCATTATTGTTTGATTTCCTAACTGTGTCTATGTGAATGTCGGATAAAGAAAAGGGGGTTATTGTATTCCGTAGATCTTTCACTCAATGCAGCTTCAAGATTATTTTACAAAATTGAGCACAGAGCAAAGTTTGACTGATGCTGTTGCATTGGTGCACATTAAGCTGAATATATCCTTGCAGGTAGTTTGAGACTGTGCCCTTCTTTTGCCTATGTAGACGAAACTTGATGACGGACTATATAGTAGAAGACACAGACAAAGCAACGTCTACGACCTCACGGGTTTCAGTCGTCTTTTCCCAAGGTTAAGTTTTCTCGTTTCTTAAAATATCATGGAAACGTATAAACACAAATGAATCGATTGGTGAATCATTTGATTTTTATGTGAGAAGGTGAATTGGAGTAATTTCAATAAGTACCTTACGTTTTGGAGCGTGAAAACCTGGGATAATTTGATAGCAATGCGTGTGACCTCAGTTTCCACTACTACTACTGGTTTCCGAATTTCACCAGGCCTAGCAACAAACAAATAACATTCAAATCTTCCATTTATTGTGTGAAAGCCAAACTACCGAAATAGGGACAAGGTGAATGTGAGCGTAGAAAAGAATATCCGAAGCATGATAACATGAAGAAAAATTAAAATAACAGCAAGAAATTCATGAAGAAACGATTAGAAAAAGTTGTGCTTGGTGAAAAGTGAATTTCCCGAAGTGAGGCAATCAAGGAACAATTCTCTCATTTGAATCTATAGACAATTTGAATATCGCTGGCAATCGTGGTGAAGTTCGGCAGATCGATCACCATGGTTTTTAGTATATCATCGAAACGGAATTTCAACTCAGTACTGTTTATGAAAACCGATTCAGGTGACTTTTCCAGACCAACCAACAAGACACGTTTCAAAGCAGTCTCTTTTGGATCTAGCCTCATTTGTGTATCCTGATGGGACATGGTGGCTCTCAAACGCAGAACACGATCTCGTAACTCAAACTGCGCGTGAACGTAGTTCAATGGCTCAGATTCGCCATCATCCCAGAACAATTCACCCGAAGCATAACTCTTGCGACCGGCCTCTTCACTTCCATCATCCACGGTAGACAAGACCACAAACAAACTCAATCCATCTTTACGTGCGAAACTGGTAACATTAACAGATGACTGAAGCGGCAACACACAACCACCACGAACTAGGATAGGAATCACATGCAAAGGAGCTTTGAAATTTCGCATATGACCTGTACTGACAATTCGTGTTGCGCTGGTCAGGTCAACCCATTCACCCGCAGGCACATATGCCTCCACATTTGTGCGACCTTCTTCAACAACCGGATTGATGAGAAGACATGATCCAAGCATGAACTGTGTGCTTATTCGATGTGTGGATAGATCCTCGGGAAACTCGAATGCTAGTGCGCGGGCCACAGTGGTTCCGTTCAAATGGGCTCGGAAAAACAACGTGTACATATACGGCAACAAGTGATAGCGAGTATTGAGAGCTGCACGGATGGCCGCAGTGGCATTCGCACTCCAAGCAGCCGGATCTTGTGGTCGTGAAGCGAGAGCGTTGTGGTTGCGTGAGAACGGATAGAATGCACCTAGCTGGCTCCAACGAACGCACAACTCTTCGGTCGCATCTCCACGGAAACCACAAATATCCGCTCCAACCATAGGAATTCCGTAGATGTTGAAATTGATCATCTGAGCAATCGAGGCGCGCATATCAGCCCAACTGGACAAGTTATCGCCGGTCCAGTGGATAGTGTAGCGTCCGGACCCGGCGAAAGTGGACCGACTAAGAACAAATGGGCGTCTTGTGGGGAACATGCGACTGAGCACCTTTCGTGTGACTCGAGCGTGATCGTATCCGTACAAATTATGTCGATTATAATGGGGAGTATTGTTGTAATGCAACGCGGATGGACAAACTGTCTTGGAGTAGAGCGACCGATCCAAAATGAGTGGTATGTATGGGGGATTGTCTAGTTTGTTGCCGCTTGGACAGCCAGAGAGAGACCCTGCGTAGAAACTCGCCGGTTCGTTCATGTCTATCCAGATGCCGTCAAATGGAACGATGCGA